GACTTCCATCCAGGGTCAACCACCCGTTGGGCAATGAACAACGAGGGGGTCGTATTTGGCCGCACAAAAGGGGGGGGGGTCGTATATAGAAAGACGGGGCTGCAATGGGGCTTTAAAAGTTAAGTTTAAAAGTGCAGTGTCCGGCAGTGCACTTTCACGCTCTAATGTCCAGAAGCTCTGCACCGTGCAGCTGTCGGAGAGTCACACAGACAAGAGCTCCATGGGAGCATTAGAGCATGCACAGCGTCATAAGTCTCACTATCAGCCATTATTATCCTTAATACACGGACGGCGCTTTCGCTCGACAGCATAGATCAAGATTACAATAGCCAAAAACAAGTGCAAAAACATGGTCTGTCTTCGATGATCGAACATTCCTGAAATCCCAAGGAGAACAAAGTGTAGAGCAGTTCATGGGGAAGTGAAACAAGAGTACCATATAACAGTACAATGCAACTCAATCACGATACTAACACCTTCTTCAGGAAAATGGAGGACTTTCAAATGCGAGTGCGACTTCTGCCCACAGACAGGTGCACGGCGTATACCCGAGCAGGCGTTTTCCCATAAAAACGCCTTCTCTGTCAGCGGCCGTAAGCAGACAAACTTCCTGAAGAGAATTTCGATGCTTTCAAATCAAATCTAAGCGGAACAAAGTGTAGCGAATTTGCTGAATTGATTCTAGAGCCCTTAGGAAAATTGAGGCAGAAGAAAGAATTTCAGGAAAATTTCACACTTGTTATGAAGTACTCTTCGAGTAGATTCTAACAGTCTTTACCGCTTCTCATCACATTAATTTTGAAGGAAGTTATGGGCCTTTGAAGACTGCATAGTCGCGGTCCAGGAAAATGGCTTGAAAAAAATCAAGGTGGAAAAACGGAACAACGGGACTATTTTTTGAGCGAGTGATTATTTGGAAAAAGTTTCAGCACTTATTCGAAAGCTCTAATCTTCTAGTTTCTAATTAGCCTTAGACATCTGCAAAAAGTTGATTATGAAGAAAGTTATGAATGTTTGAATGTCGAAAACTCGCGTGTGCACAAAAAACGGAACAACGGGACGATTTTTTGAAATATTGAACATCCGCAACATTTCAAATACTTTTTAGGAAAGAAAACTATTTGATTTTTAAAATTTTGGTGTCCGGTTCCATGAAAACGCCTGGACGAAGATATAAGCTTTCAAAGAAGGCGCCCGTAACTATTGGAGATTTAGTTTTTCCAGCTTCTACAAAAAGAAGAGTTGGACGTTCGCGGAAATCTTGGCAGGTACCTGAAATTAGGAAGCTCTAGAAACATAAAGGAACCTAAGTTTACAAAAAATCTTCTGAATTCCCCGAATAAAACTTTTAATATTTCATTTTTCCTCGATTCCGCGTCCCAAGCGAATAGAAAACGCGCTCCACGTCATCTCGCGCCGCGGTAAGGGCGCGAATTTCTAAATTCGAATTTCATTACTCGGTTTCTTACCTCCGTTATTTTTGTTGAGACATGTTT